TCGGTTGGGGCCCTACCTCCCCCACTCCCGGGCACAGGGTGCCCCCCTCCCCCCCCACCCCTGCCGGATCTGTCTGGCTCCTCTAGGGTGGGTGGCGAGGACATCATTGTGGCCCACGTGAGCCACGGCCTGGACTCTGCCTGGGTCCCAAGCCACCGGCGAGTAAACCCTCCCACTCTGCGCATGAAGAAGCTCAACTGGCAGAAGCTGCCGTCCAAGGTGGCACAAGGTGAGGACCCCCGGTCCCTGTGAGTGGCTGCCTTCCCGCGGCCGGGGGCTGGGCTGCTGGGCAAGTGGCCCGCCAGACCTGCAGCAGCCCTGCTCCTGTCTGGGCCTAGGCCCGGGCGTGAGCCTGACCGGGCACCCCATGCGCAGAGCACAACTCCATGTGGGCCTCGCTGAACAGCCTGGGTGCCGAGGTCGTGGAGCCGGACTTCTCCAGCATCGAGCGGCTCTTCTGCTTCCCCCAGGCCAAGCCCAAGGAGCACGTGGCCGCCCCGGCCAGGAAGGAGCCCAAGGAGGTGGGGCCGGGCTGGGGCTCGGACGGGGGCCTCTGTGCTGCTCTCAGGGGCCAAGGGCCAACACCAGGGCCGGGGTGTTTTCCAGATCACTTTTCTGGACTCCAAGAAGAGCCTGAACCTCAACATCTTCCTGAAGCAGTTTAAATGGTGAGCAGCCCCTCCTGGCGAGCCCCCTCCCCTCCCCTGCACCTCCCATCTTGGGCTGCGCAGTGCCCTCTGCAGGCCGCTCCTGGGAAGTGCACACCCCCCTCCCTGGGGCCAGTCATAGCTGCAGACGGGCCCAGCTGGGGGCCCTGGAGAGCACCAGGCCCCACTTCCTGGGGAAGCTGAGGCCCAGACAGCAGCAGTCAGTGCTCCCGGCCCCCAAGTCCTTGCCTGCAGCTGCTGGGCACTGGCTCCTGCCAGGGAGCTCCCTGGGCATGCATGAGCCGGCCTGCCTGGGTCCTGAGCAGCCGCCTGGAAGGAGGAGCGGAGGGTGCAGACCTGGAGGGCGGTATTCAGCCCCCAGCCTCGTTACTGTGTGACCCCAGGCAGGGGGTTTGCCTTCTCTGTATCCCGGCAGCTCGGGCCCCCAGGCAGCAGAGAGCATGGGCTGAGGGCAGCCCCCGACTGGCAGGGTCCCCAGGAGCCCCCAGGAGGTGGCCGTGCTCCCTGGGCTCCCACCCCAACCACGCCCTCTCTCCTGCAGCTCCAACGAGGACGTGACTGCTATGATCCGGGCTGGGGACACCACCAAATTCGACGTGGAGGTTCTCAAGCAGCTCCTCAAGCTCCTTCCTGAAAAGCACGAGGTGAGTGGGAAAGAGCCTGCCAGCCCTGCCCTGGGGGCCCCCAGCAAGGGACAGAGGAGGGGACACACAGACGCACAGTCCGGAGCTGCACGGAGCTGTGCTGGACATGAGTGGGCCCTGGCGGGGCAGGTACACGCAGGTGCCGGGCAGTGCAGGGGGCTTCCTGGGAGGGGATGGGAGCTGGAATCCCATGTGTGGCCTCCTCCCTGCAGATTGAAAACCTGCGCTCCTTCACAGAGGATCGGGCCAAGCTGGCCAACACCGACCAGTTCTACCTCCTGCTGCTGGGCATTCCCTGGTGAGTGGGCAGCCATCGGACCCCAGGGCCCAGTGGTGGGGAAGGGGCGGGGGGAACTGGGCCTAGACCTTGAGGAGGGAGTGGGGCTGCGCAGACTGTTCCCTTGGGACTCCGCGAGGACGGCCGCACATACCACTCACGCGCCCACCTGCTCTGAGAGGGAGGGGCGCCCCGCAGGGAGGTGACTGCCCTCCTGGGCCCACCTGGTGCTTGTCTCGCGTGCCCCTTCCCGGGCCCTACCCCAGGCCTGCTGAGTCCGCCACTGGGACCTGGCCCAGGAACGTGCACGTTGAACAGGGCCAGGCCGTCGGCCCCCCGAGCTGCGGGCCCAGCGCCGGTGAAGGGGGCCCAGTCCCTGATCTCCTGCTCTGTCCCCAGCTACCAGCTGCGGGTGGAGTGCCTGCTACTATGTGAGGGCATGGCTGTCGTGCTGGACATGGTGCAGCCCAAGGCCCAGCTGGTCCTCGCGGCCTGCAACAGTGAGTGGGGGGCAAAGCCTGGGGCTGGGGGGACCTGGCGCCCGGAGAGCGAGCGGTCCCGGGGCGCTGACCTTCCCCACCTCACCGTAGACACGCAGACACACCCCTGCTCTGAGACACGCACCGTGCACGCGCACTCACGTGTGCATCCGCCAACACTCACACAGACCCACTCAGCCCCATACACAGCTGCATGTGTGCACACAGGGACACACACGTGAACACTCACTGCTTTCTCCAAACGAGGGACGAGCAGGAACATAACCAAGCCCCGGGGCAGGGACGCACGCAGTGGACGTCCACTCCCATCCCAGCCACAGAGCCAGGAGGGCCACCCTCCCCAAAGCCCCACGGATGGTTAGGGGAGACCCGGGGAGGCCACAGCTACAACCTTCTGGAAGGTTCCTCCCAGCAGCGTCATCCCCAGAAGGGGGCAGGGGTCGTCCGCCCCCGGGGTGCGGGGCTGCAGTGAGTGCTAACAGTGGTAGACCTGCACCCAGAGCCCCTGAGCCTGTTCGCAGTGGGGGGGTTCCAGCCACCCTGCCCCCCCCCCGGACCGAGCCCGGGGGAGGGGAGCGAAGAACCGCGCGCCACAGCCTCAGACACCGGGCGGCACCCTCCCCTCCCTCAGCCCTGGTGCCCTCCCACAGGCCTGCTCACCAGCCAGCGGCTGCCCATCTTCTGCCAGCTGATCCTGAAAATTGGAAACTTCCTTAACTACGTAAGCGAGCCCCCCCGCTCCCCCCCCGCTCCCCCCTGCCAGGCAGCAGGGGCCCTCACTCCTGACCCGGGCCCTCGCAGGGCAGCCACACGGGGGACGCTGATGGCTTCAAGATCAGCACGCTGCTGAAGCTCACGGAAACCAAGTCCCAGCAGAGCCGCGTGACCCTGCTGCACCACGTGCTGGAGGTGGGACCGGGGCTGGCCCCCCCCCCCGAGGCTCGGGCATCCCTGGGGCCAGGGTGTGGCCACGGGGCTCTCACTGGACCCGTCCTGTTGCAGGAGGTGGAGAAGAACCACCCAGACCTCCTGCAGCTGCCCCGGGACCTGGAGCAGCCCTCCCAGGCAGCGGGGTAGGTGCCCCCTGCCCCCCAACCCGCCTGACCTGCGCTGGCGCCCCCCCACCTGCCTCCCCGCACCGGCACCCCTCACCACCGCCCCGCCTCACCTGCGCTGGCACCCTCCTCGTCCTGGCCGGTGAGGTGGCTGGGCCAGGCTAGGCCCCCAGGAACCACTGCCCCATAGAAGGCTCACTTTCACCTCAGACTAGGACCTTGGGTCCATCATGGCTTGTCCCCACGTGATTTGCAGGAGGAAACTGAGGCCTGGGGGAGGTAGGGAGTGACCTGGTCATGGTCACACCAGGGGCTAGGCTGACGCCACCTCTTTACAAGGTTGAGCCTCACAACAGCCCATGAGGAAGGCCATGCCACTCCCATTGTACAGATGGGGAAACTGAGGCCCAAGCAAGTGGGGCTGCGTTCATGGGGCCCCTCAGCACAGAGGGGCAGCTCAGGGAGGGTGGCCTGGACCTTCCAACTCCAGGTACGTGCTGCTGCGGAGGGTCCTCAGGCCTAAGAGCCAACGATGGGCTGAGCCGCTGGGTTCACTGTCCCAGCATTTCACCCCCAGCACCGCCTGGCCCGCCCAGAGCTCTGACGTGTTTCCAGCAACCTGCGGGTGTGTGGTCCAGTGTCCCCCGCTGTCCCTGCGCAGGCAAGGGGCTCCACTGACCCCACAAGATTGGACATCAGCCATCACCCGACCCCGCCGGGCTCTGGGGTGTTTTTCAGGATCAACCTTGAGCTCATCCGTTCCGAGTCCAGCACCAACCTGAAGAAGCTTCTGGAGATAGAGCGGAAGGTGTGGTCCTCCATCCCTGAGGTGCAGGAACAGTACACCCAGCGCGTCCAGGCAAGCCGGGGCCGGGGTCTGGGCCGGGGGGCGACGGCGGATCGTTTCCGGGGGGGGGGGGGCCTTGCTGGGGGTGCGGCAGCCTAGGCCAGCGAACCAGGCAGGGGCCGGTGAGCATGGGGGAGGACAGAGCCCGGGCCAGGGGCCCCGCGGGAGGGCAGCATGCTGTCCCTGGTCCCACAGTGGTTCCTGCAAGTGAGGGGCTTCCCCGACCCAGGGGCCGCAGTGCCCAGACCTCCTGGTCCTGCTGTCTATGGGGTCCGCTGCAGCTAGCCGTCACGCTCCTGCAGCCGGGGGCCCCGCCCTGCCCCCAGGGCTCCCCCAGGGCTGTGACCGTGCCCCCTGCCCCCAGGCCAGCATCAAGGCCTCCCGGGCGCTGGATGAGGTGTTCCAGGCCATCGAGCAGAAGAAGCTAGAGGTGGCCAGTTACCTGTGTGAGGATGCTCAGCAGCTGTCCCTGGAGGACACATTCAGCACCATGAAGACCTTCCGGGACCTCTTCATCCGCGCCCTGAAGGTGGGCTGGGCCGCAGCCCCTCTCCAACCTCGGGCAGAGCAACTGGAATCGCTCCTTGAGGGCTGGGGGTCACGGGCTCTGTGTCCACCCGCCACAGGAGAACAAGGACTGGAAGGAGCAGGCGGCGAAGGCTGAGAGGAGGAAGCAGCAGCTGGTGGAGGAGGAGGCGCGGAGGCCGCGGGGGGAGGACGGGAAGCCTGGTGAGGCCGGGCCCAGCTGGGGGGTGAGGGAGAGCTGGGGGGGGCGGCCCCGGCTGGGGGACAAGGGAGAGCTGGGGGGGCGGGCCTCCATGGGGCCAGGTCTGCGAGTCCTCCGTGCTCGTGCTCGTGCTCGTCCCCCATCCTTGAAGCTCTTGGGGCACCGCCCTCCCCCTCCAGGTCATCTCCTTTTCAGGGTCACCTGGGTGGGCTCCAGGGACCCACAGGCAGCCTCTCTGAGGGTCTCTGGGGCCTCTCAGTCAGGAGGGGAGTCGGGAAGCAGGAGGAAGTGTGTGTCATCGACGCCCTGCTGGCTGACATCAGGAAGGGCTTCCAGCTGCGGAAGACGGCCCGTGGCCGAGGGGACGCAGAGTGGGGCAGCAAGGCGGCTGCCGTGGACCCGCCGAGGGACAAGGCGCCTGGTGAGACCCTCTCCTGCCTCTCATCACCATGTCCCTCCTGCCATCCCTGCTGCCTGCTCTCCCCCCTCCTGCAGGAAGCCCTCTCTGACCTCATAGGAGAGTCCTCCGGGCAGCTCCCTTGTTGCCTGAGAAATGTCACGGCCACGAGGTGGGGCTAGAGGGGCAGCTCGGCCTTCTGGTGCTCCCGTCTGCAGCGAGGGCCTTTGACAGGTGTCCCTGTCCCCGGGGCCCAGGGATGCTGAGGTGGTGGGAGAGGTGGGCACGGGGCCTGGGAGAGGGGCGCTCCACTCAGCGTGGCTGCTCGGTGGGGGGGCGCTCTAGGGACAGGGATGAAATCAGTCCAGTGTCCCCTGCTCGGCCACACCGTGGGCCTGCTCTCTGGGAACCCACACCTGGAGGCCACCAGGGAAGTCTCCTGGGGCTGTGGGCTCTGCAGGGCTGGTGGCATTCGGGTAGAAGCTGGGATGGACGGAGGCCTCCCCCTTGGGCACATCCTCAGGATGGTCTGGGAGTCGGGGCCCGCCCTCAGCTGCCATGTCCTGTGTCCACAGTGGCCCCCAGAGTCCCCTCAGGAGGCACCGACTGCCCCACCTCTGAGCCCCGGGGCTGGGACCTCTCAGATGCCACTGCCCCGAGCCCGCAGCCCACCGCAGACCCGTCAGAGGAGGGCGGGCCTGGGCCCCTGGAGAGGCGTTCTTCCTGGTACATGGATGCCAGCGATGTCCTGACCACCGAGGACCCTCAGAGCCCCCAGCCTTCTCAGGGCGCCTGGCCCGTGGTGCTGGGAGGTGCGCAGGCCCTGAAGCCTCTCAAGCTCTCAGGTGACAAGCCTCCCGGGGTCAGAGGGTCGAGCCAAGATGCTGAAGACCCCACAGCCCCTGAGGGCGTCTGCCTGGCCGAGGCCGACAGCACCGTGGAGGGGCTGCCGGACGCCGCTGCCCACGGCCACAGTGCCGACCTCCCCGCCGCAGGCCCTGGTGTGGCCGGGGACGGCGACGGGGACCAGGAGGACACAGCCCCAGATTCTGCACTGGACACATCCTTGGACAGGTCCTTCTCTGAGGACACAGTCACGGACTCTTCAGGGTCCGGCACTCTCCCCAGGGCCCGGGGACAGGCCTCAAAGAGGACGGGCAAGCGAAGGAAGAAGCGTCCCTCAAGGAGCCAGGAAGGTAACTTGGGGCTCCCCCCCGTCATTCCTCGTCCCTGGAAGCAGGGGACCCGGGTAGGCAGGGCACATGGGGCTTGGGGGCATTGGTGTGTGACCCACAGCGGGGCCCCGAGCCGCGGCCGGCCGTTCCCTCCTCTCCCCCCAGGAGTGGGTGATGCCCGGGACACCCCACGTCCTGCAGGAGAGATGGCCACCCTTGTGCTCGTGAGAGGAGCGGCTTCGGGAGGGGGAGCACTGCCCTTGTCCCCACGCCCCTCGCCCGCTGACTCCCGCTTCACAGCGTCCCCGGCAGGGAGTGGTGGCCGGGGCGGGTGTGGCCAGGGGCTGCCTGAGACCCCGCCGTGTTCGGCGCAGCCCGAGCGCCAGCTCCGAGCTCAGGCAGGTCAGGAACAAGCCGCTGAGTGCGTCTCTCTTATTTGAAAGCAGAGGTTGTCCCTGACTCTGACGGTAGTAAAACACAAAGACTCTGTGTGATTCAGTGAGGTACGTACCTGCGCGGGCGCTGAGCACTAACGGCGCCGCAGAGGCCGGCCCGCACCCAGCCCTCCCGGACGCTAACCCGCCCCCCCAAGCCGCCCGGGCCTGTCTGCGAGCCTGCCCGCCTCTGCCGCTGGTGGTGGGACCCGCCTGGCCTCGGCCCTCCCCCGCTCTCTGGAAGGGCAGGAGCCGTGCCTTGCTTAGCTGGTGTCTCTGCTGCGGCCAGGTGTGACCTTGGAGCTGTGCGCTGGCCAATAGGCCTCAAGTGGGGGGGGGCTCTGACGGCGGGGGGACTCTGACGGCGGGGGCGGCTTGGCCTCCTAGGCCGGGCAGGACAGACAGAGGCTGCCCCTGTCCCAAGCGGTCTGGCTAGCCCGGGGCTTTCTTGACTCCTGTCCCTCAGGGTGGCACCTTCGCTCTGAGACCTTCCATGAGGCGCACCCCAGCCCTCCTCTGGCCCTTGTTGGGCCACAAATGTCCCCAGGAGGCAGTGAGGGACAGAGACAGTCCCAGGGGCCGGCTGCCAGGGAGAAGCGGGCCACAAGCCCTCTCCAAGGAATGGACGGACCTCCCCTCCCTGGCGGCCAGGTCCTGGGGACCACAGATGGGTCTGTAGGCACATCCTGGGTCCACTGCACCAGGCCTCCCAGGACCCCCGAGTATGGGCAGGACCGTCATTGTCTCTGACGTGGCCCGAGAGGCTCACAGATGCAGACAGACAGGCCTGGGGTCCCTACTGCGTTCCGGGCCATGCTAGCGGTATGCAGACCAGTTCCTCACGAGCGGGGAGCCACCTGGGTCTGCACACACCTGCACCCAGCTCGGTGCCACGGTGCTGTGCTGGCCTGCAGGGCCCGGGGCGCAGGACTCGGGGCACAGAGGAGAGGTCCAGCAGCGCCCAGAGGAAGCAAGGGCAGAAGCGAGGTCAGGTGCACCCCTCTTTACAGTGTATCCTCACTATTGGGTACAGCCTTTAGTCTCAGTTCCAGAGTTTGCTCCTGGGGTTACTTTCTGAGCTCGGCTCTCTGGTGGGAAACACCAGCGTACATTAGCAAGTGGGGCCGAGTGGTCTGTGGGTTTGGGGGGCTGGCAGCCACATGTGGCCGCTGCCCAGGGAAAGATCAGTGTGCCCAGCACGGCTCTGTGCTCTCGCAGGACCGCCCCCGTCCTCCAGCATAGTGGTCCCGCTGCCGCATGCTCGCTCCCCCACCCTGGGCCCCAGCATCCCAGTGGCTGGGGGCAGGAGGAAGGAATCCCACCGTCCTTGTCTCCTCAACCTTTTATTTGAAAAACTTCAACCAGACAGGGAATTTGCAAGATCATAACGAACACCACATACCCTTCACCCCGAAAGGGCAAGAACTTGCAAAAAAGAGCGAAATGATCAGCATTTGCTGCATTGCTCTCAACTTCACTAAAGGATTTGAGAGTTAGGGGCATCGTGCCACTTGAACCCAGCCCCCAGGGTCTCCTGAGAATGAGGCTGCTCTCCCCAACCCCCACCCAGCACCTTTCGGGGTCTGTCGTGTGCAGCCCCAGGCCCCAGCAGGGCCCGGGCAGGGGTCCCACCTTGCCTGGTTGTTTCGGCTTGTTGGAACCGAGACACCCCCCACCCCTGGGGACCACACATCCAGCCTCTGTCTGTCTCGGGTGGCCCCCGTGTAGAAGGCACCTTCACTTCAGGGGTGTCCCACGGCTTCCCCCCACTGCTTCCAGATTGTGTTTGGGGCAGGCATTCGACACACGTGATGTGGGTCCTCCCCAGGGCCCCTCAAGAGGGGCTTGGGGCCTTTTATCCCCTGGGTAGGGGCCTGGATGCCAATTACCTGGTTGAGGTGGTGATTTGGGAGCCCCCTGCTATGTGGTGCCCTGGCCCCGCCTTGCCCTGGGTCCTGGCACCCTGGGGGGGGGCCGACAGAAACCCTGCTCTGAATGACTTTTGACTTCTCTTCTTCTCACTTCTGTGCCCCATCTCTTTCAAGCATGATCCTCAAACCTGTCTGCTCAAGACCCACAGGGAGCCTGGGGTGGCCATGGGGGCGGGGCATTTGCAGGGAAGAGCCGAGCAAGGGGCCCTGGACCAGAGGGCTTTGATGGGCAGGGGGCCTGCAGGGCCGGTTGGGGGCGTGCACGTGGCAGGAACTGTGGAGGTGGGGCCCTGGTGCCCTCAGGACCAGAGCTGGAAAAAGACAAGTCAGGAAGCATCCAGTGTAAGGGGTGGATTGGGAAGCAACTGAGGAAGCTCCAGGGAGAGGCAGCAGTGGGGACTGATGAGGGTAGACAGTGTGGCATGGGCCTGGGCTGGGAGAGCAGGGCCTTGGAGGGTGGTAAGGGGAGAGAGCAGGGCCTGGGGCGGGTGGGAGAGAGCAGGACCTCTGGTAGGGGGAGAGAGCAGGGCCTTGGGTGGGGGGGAGAGCAGGGCCTCTGGTGCAGGGAGAGAGCAGGGACTGGAGGGAAGGGAGAGAGCAGGGCCTGGGGGGGTGGGGGAGAGCAGGACCTGGGGGGAGGAGAGCAGGGCCTAGCTGGGAGAGAAGGCCCTAAGGGGAGGGGGGAGAGCAGGGTCTGAGGGGAGGGGAGAGCATGGCAGAGGGGGGAGAACAGGGCCTGAGCAGGGGAGAGTGCAGGGCCTCGTGGGGGTGGGGCGTGAGAGTGGAGAAGGTTGGGGAGAATAGGACCTGGGTGGGGAGAGAGCAGGGCCTATGGTGGGGAAGGAGAAAAGGGCCCAGGGAGGGGGAGAGAGCAGGGCCTGTCAGGGGTGGGGGGTGGCAGGCCTGGGGAGGGGGCAGGAGAGAGCAGGGCCTGGGGGCCTCGGAGAAAGGGGGGATGAGGGGAGAGAGTAGGGCCTGGTGGGGGAGAGCAGGGCTTGAGCCAGGTGAGGGA